AAATTCGGAGCGGCGTTGCTTCGCGATGCTCCAACATGAACACATCAGCGCTGCGATTTCTCAACAACTCTCTCTTCGCTCTCATCGTTTATCGCCGCTCCAACATAAACGTACCCTTACGCACAGCAGCTGCGCGTTCGAGGAGGCGACGCCAGTCCCGGCGGCCGGCGCACGCAGACGGCGAATATGGAGTAGCGCAAACATTTGTTCTGGGTGTAGCGGTAGAGAAACTGCGAAACGACACCAGAATTAGAAACGAGAACTGGGAAGGGAAATGGAGAATCACGTATATGTATATAACGCGTATAATACGTACGTAATCTTAGCTCCTTCAAAACCTCTGTGAGAAACATTTAGTAGTACTTAATAACCTTTCACTGACAAGATTCGTCCAATCCATTCTGTACCTAATTTGCCAAGTCAGAAAATATAATTTATCTCCATTTTGAATAAATTCTCATAGCTTTCTAAGATATTTATCATTAACTTTACCACATCCCTAACTTAAAATAAATAAATTTCATCTCACTCATAAATTTCATTTCATCAATGCTGCGAGAGTATTCTCTTTTCTATCTACTCCTTCCTCCCTCGCTTACATTCCTGTCTTCAATATGAAAAAACCCCTCATCCAAATTGCGTACGTATTTCTCTTTGATGACTTTCTTTTCATTAACTATTGTATTGATTTTTTTTTAAATGGTCAGACGGAAGAGCAGGCTAAATGGCCTGAGCCTCTCCACCAATAAAGACGTTTATGCTTTACTTATTTACTTACTTACTTATTTATTTATTTATTTATCTATTTATTTATCTATTTATTTATCTATTTATTTACATGTTGCAATTGGATCTTCTTCCCAAGTTAAAGACAACCAAGAGAAAGTAAAATCAAAGTTTAAATTTCAATAACATGTAATGTTTTTGTTCTCAAACTGAAGTGTTACTTTGTCAAGTAGAATTAGGAATTTGAATGGGAAACTTTACTGAACTTAATGATGAAAAAAGGTAATATGTGTTGTAAATAATCTATTGAAAGAATTAAGTGAAATTAAATGCAATATCCTAGGGTAAATTCAAAGTAAGAGGTATTACTAAACGATTTTGCATGGGATCCAATTTTAGAAATTTTGATAATAGTTTTATATGAAATAGTTTCTAAAAGGTATTTGAAACGAATGATTCAGTAGATGTTGAGTATCAATGATGTTGTCTATTGATTGAGGATGGAATAAATTCACACTTTTGCTAGAATTTCGCAACAGATTTTTTTCACATGCGATCATAACAATTTCTTCCTACCAAGTTCCCTGCACCTTTCAGGTTCAACAAATATTATTGTTATTGTTATTGTTATTATTATTATTATTATTATTATTATTATTATTATTATTATTATTATTATTATTATTCAAGCTATAAATCCCCATCTAGCACAATCGCCTCCCACTCTGTGATGGGATAGCTCTTAGCAGGGTAGCTAAATCTGGCGAAGTCGAATTGTTTTTCCTATTTAGCAATTTTGTTACAAAGATATATATACCACTAGTTCGTAATAAAACCAGAGAATTTTCCTTAGCAGTATTTCCATTGTTAAACAGTAGTTTGCTAGACACATTAACATATTTCACACACATCGTAAAACGGATTATTTACACACAATATATAACTACTCCAATACCGAAGATGCCTATTCTACTAAATTAAATTAAAACTACAGCAAGCGTTAACATTATGTATGTCCATTAATAAAAAAGTATTAAAAACGATAATAGATACACCGATAATAATTTTAGTATAGTTTTAATTTCAAAATAAATATTATTATCAATATTTCACGCTATTAAAATGACCTATGATTCTATTGGCCCACTGTCTATTACATACTTGAAATGAAACAAAATAAATAAAATTACCTCGTGTGTGACAAAAAAATCTTCATATGCAAGTGCATGCATGCCTGTAATCAAGACAACACATATTATTATCAGTGAATAAATCATACATTAGATTTACAGTTAGATTTATTCAGTAAAAAAACAGTAAAAAATATATGTGACTTAGGGGGGAGAAGATATTATGCGCACGTTTTCTTGAGTTCCAAAATCCCTTCCCAACATTGCAACTATAAATAGTTTAAAAAAGTTTAACATAAATAAATAAAAATAAATTTTAAAAATCGCAAGATTAGCAATATTTGAAAAATAGTAATTTTCGTTTCCAAATTATCGTAAACTAATTGCATCGGTACACGAATTGCAAGTATGATTTTTCTGCCTTGCTAACAAAATAGCAACTCGCCCTTACCTCTACTCTTACCATTACAAGCAAAAGGAGAGTTCAACAAAACGTGCGCATAGTGAAGCTACATTTACGTTCAGAAGCAAAACAAGGGGCCATCTCTGCATTTGCTCAATGGATCACGGAATCTGGACAAAAACCTGAACGAGATAGGGGTCACTGACCCGGAAGCTGAAGTACGTTATTTGTTACAAACATATTAAGTCATTTAAAAAAATTATACAATTCAAATGTAAATTAATTCATTATATATCACTGTTTTGTTAAAATAAACATTATTTTTCTTTTCGATAATCAGTATAGTCTGTAATTGTATAGACACAGTTACGCAGCAGAAAAGATTTTACTTTTAACTTAAATTTGTGAACTGATTTCAGTTGTTTAATGTCATCTGGCAGTGCGTTGTAAAGTAACATACATGTATTGTATGTGGATTTCTGATAGTGAGCTGTTGATACTAACACTTGAACGTGATTTTTAATGATTACATGAAACATGTTCCCACCGTTAAGTACTGTTTGACAAATATTACAGATACGTAAAGATATAGGCAAGGCAGTGGTAAGATTCCAAGCTCAATGAAGAGAGGCTTTGCAAGGGTAACGCGGATGGCAAGTTTACATTATTCGAATAATTTTCTTTTGCAATCTATGATGAGTTTCCACAGAATTTGATACCATATCTCAGGCGGGAATGTACATTTGCAAAATACACGCAACGAGCTGCATGAAGGCTGACAGAATTTGATAGAATTCTGAATGCGTAACATAATGAACTTACTTTAGTGTTTAATTTTGTTAAATATACTTTCCATTTGAGTTCTGACTGAATTGAGAGACCTAGAAATTTTCTTACCTGAACATCACCTAATTGCATATTATTCATTTTCAATGGAGCATGCGATTGCTGATTTGAAAGGCAAAAATGCATTGAAACTGTTTTTCCTTCATTAACTATTAATTTGTTATTACAAAACCAATTCGAGACTTCTAAAATCGTACTATGTATTGTTTCTTTTTTGCAAAGAACATTTGTGTTTACGGCAAAGAGCTGTTCTTCCGTTTTTAATAGACGACGGCATATCGTTTACGTGTAACAGAAAGAGAATAGGACCTAAGATCGAGCCTTGCGGAACCCCATATTCAATTGGTAAAGAATCGGAAAGATAAGTAAATAATGTCCTTTCGTGCCAGTACGGTATTTCTACTCAGAGATCGATGTTTATGGAACGAGGCTATCCAATCTAGAGTGATACCACGAATTCCATAAGAAGGTAATTTTGATAGCAAGATGTTATGGTTAATAACGTCAAAAGCTTTCGAAAGATCTAAAAATATTCCAATGGATGCTTAATTTTGGTCCATTGATGAAGAAACATCTTTAAGAAAAGAAAAGATGGCAGTTTCCGTAGATTTTGATTTTCTAAACCCGTGTTGTGAGACTGAAAACCCTTCGTTTTTCCTGAGAAAATGTTTCATTCGCGTGTAGAAAAGTCTCTCTAATATTTTAGAGAAACCTGACAAAAGAGAAATTGGTCGGTAATTTCGAATTTCATTCTTTCTCCCTTTTTAAAGAGTGCCTTAATTTTTGGCGTTTTGTAAATATCTGGAAATATTCCTGTGCATAAAGAAGCATTGAAAATGTGAGTTAACGGGTATATAAAGGCTGGTACACAATTTTTCGATAAACAATCCGGAAATACATCTAAATCAGATGAATATATATATTACTGACTATTCGTAAGATTTCGTTAGAAGTTTCGAATCGTGTCGAACGTTTTTTGGGAAGGTAATGAATTTGTTGAATTTGATGGTTTTAGTCCCTTCGTGGGTTCAGCCGCAATTCTAGAAAAGTGTTGGTTGAAGAGATTTGCCACTTTTTCCGGACTACTGGCTTCTCTTTCATTATCATTTAAAACAACATTCTCTATTACGTAACGAGATGATGTGGTCGTACTTTTTACGATACATTTTTTACGGTTTTTTACGAACAGATGTTACTGTAGTCCCTCTGACCGAGAGGTCCCAGGTTCAAGTTCCGAAGGTGGCAGGATTTTCGACACTAGCTTGTCAGATGGGTTGAATTTTATCACTGTCATTCTAGCGGCCGGCTGCTCTGGTCAGTTGTTTTCCGTGGTTTCTCCGATCAACACTAGGCGAATACCGGAGCAGCACCCTCACAAACAGCCCACGGATCGCGCGCGATCATTCCTACCTTCCGCGATCTTCCTCTTGTCCTATCCTCAGCCCTAAGACACTTACACTAACATGCACTACACTACCACACATACCGGGAAACAGGTCGAGAGTTTCGAGATTGAATCCGCTGGGGCATTGCCCACTGGTAAGATACCTGGTTGGGGAAAATCTCGTTAGCTGACGGCAGGTCGGGGCCGGATTTTGCCATCCAGAGGAAGACTACCGCCATCTCCCGAGGGAAAACATGAACGACACTTACGGGACTAACGACCATAGTAGTTGACGCACCCGGAATCACTACCAATTAATCAATCCAGTAACAAATGGATCATTCCACGTCTATGGCACAAATTTAAGGAAAATATGACCTTGGGGTCCCAGATTTTAAAACTTTTTTTTTCTGCGAAGAGTATAAGCAAAAATATGAAACACATGTTTTTCATTTTTTCCCAATATTTTTTGAAATTATATTAATTTTCAAAAATTTCGAAAATAATGCGCGCGTTGCTAAAGTTAATCGTTTTTACATCGTTTTGTAATTGTGACACATTTAATATTTTGTGACATTAAAGAACAAAAGATACTCTTTCATTTGGTGTATATATCGAATTCATCAATTTAAAAAAAATAGTTTTTTGACCTATTTTATTTTAAATTCCCACAAAACACGTTTTAAATTTTTTTTACGTTTTAAAATTTCCAAAAATATCACTGAAATCTCTGAAAAGTTCTACATAAGTTTAATACGTTAGAAAGTGGAACATTAAGATTATTCTGAGAAATTTAATACAATAGAAAGTCTACTTGCTGAGAGCGTCAACCCTCAAGTACGTGCCAAACAGCAGTACACGATTACCATCAATATACTTTCACACAGCAATAAATCGAAGTACCCCGTCACGTCTTACAATGTGTCAAATATTATATATATATATATATATATATATATATAT